GGTGCAGTTCTTGGGCCCTGTCCCACATCTGCAGAAGCAGAATCCCTGAAAATGGGGCCCAAGACTGATTTTAAAAACTGTTCAGGTGATTCTTGTGCCCACTAAAGTTTAAGATGTTTTTTGAGGGAAAATGAGTTTCTAGAGAAAAGCTTGTTGCTACCTTTCCCCTAGCTTCCTTGAGTTGTTTACGAGGTGAAGCTTGGAGCTGCAGCAACCACTTTGTGACCAAGTGCCAATACTGATGGCGGCAGAGCAGAAAGCAAGCTCGGGACAGCACTGAGCTGTCAAGCCGTTAGAGCTACCGACCTCCAGATACTTATGTGAGATGAAATGCCTGTATTGATTTGTCAGATACAGTAGTCCTCCTTTATCCATGGTTTCACTTTCTGCAGTTTCAAGGTCCAAAAATATTAAATGAGACTTTCTAGAAACAATTCATAAGTTTTAAATTGCATGCCATTCTGACAATTTAAAAAGTAGCTGGGTGTGGTGACATGCACTTGTAGTCCCAGCTACTCAGGAAGCTGAGGCAGGACAATCGCTTGAGCCCAGGAGTTTGAGGCTGCAGTGAGCTATGATAATGCCACTGCACTCCAGTGTGGGCAACAGTGAGACCCTCGCCCCCCCAAAAAAAAAAGTGGGCATGGTGGCTCACACCTGTAATCCCAGCACTTTGGGAGGCAGGATTACTTGAGGCCAGGAGTTAAGAGACCAGCCCGAGCAATACAGTGAAACCCTGTCTCTACAAAAAAATAAATAAAAATTAGCCGGGCATGGTGTCATGCACCTGTAGTCCTAGCTACTTGGGAGGCTGAGGCCAGGAGGATCATTTGAGCCCAGGAGTTAGAAGCCAACCTGGGCAACACAGCAAGACCCCATCTCTACAAAAAAGTAGTAAAAGAAAGGAGAAGAGAGAAGAAAGTTACATATATATCTAATAAAAAATAAATAGGACTTCAGTTAAACTTAAAAACTTTTGTCAGAGGACACTATCAAGAAAGTGGGATGGGCGAGGTGTCTCACGCCTGTAATCCTAGCACTCTGGGAGACCGAGGCAGGAGGATCACTTGAGTTAAGGAGTTTGAAACCATCATGAGCAAGAGTGAGACCCTGTCTCTCCTAAAAACAGAAAAAATCAGCTAGTCGTGGTGGTGCACCCCTGTAGTCCCAGCTACTTGGGAGGGTGGAGGATGGCTTGAACCCAGGAGTTTGAGTTTGCAGTGAGCTATGTCAATGCCATCTTGTCGACAGAGCAAGACTCTGCCAAAAAAAAAAAAAAAAAAAAAAAAAATGAGAAAAAAAGGAGAGGAAATATTTACAAATCACGTAAGGATCTAATATCCAGGATATATAAAGAACTCTTACACCCCAACAATATAAACTCAACCCAATTAAAACACGGGCAAAGGATCTGAACAGATATTTCTTTCAAAAAGATACACAAATGGCCAGTGAACATGAAAAGATGCTCAACATCTAATCATTAGGGAAATACAAATCAAAACCACAATGAAATGCCACTTCGTACTCACTAGAATACTTACAATCAAAAAAAATGGAAAAGTGTTGATGAGGATGTGAAGAAATTGGATCCCTCAGATTGCTGGTGGGAATATAAAATGGCACAGCCAACGTGAATGACTGTGGCAGTCTCTCAAAGTTACTGTATGACCCAGCAATTCCATTCCTAGGTATATGCCCAAATGCATTGAAAACTTAGGTCCGCACAAAACGATGTTCACAGCGTTATTCACAATAGCCAGGAAGTGGAAACAGCCCAAATGTCCATCAACTGATGGGTAAATAAATGTAGTATATCCATACAATGGAAAATCGGCAATAAAACAAACGAACTACTTGCTCCAACGTGGATAAACCTTAGAAATATGCTAAGTCCAGCCTGGGCAACATTGCAAGACCCCCATCTCTATAAAAAATAAAAAATTTAGTTGGGCTTGGTGGCATGGGCCTGTGGCATGGGCTGCTGGGGAGGCTGAGGCAGGAGGATCGCTTGAGCCTGAGAGTTTGATGTTACAATAAGCTACGACACCACTGCACTGCAGCATGAAGACAATTGTCTCTTAAAAAAAAAAAGCTAAAATGAAAGAAGCCACTCAAAAAACCAAAACCAAATTGTTTGATTCCATTTATATGAAAAATCCAGAAGAGGTCAGTTTATAGAGACAGAAAGTAACAAGTACCTGGGGATGAGGGGGGAAAGGAAATGGAGAGTTAACTGCTAATGGGCATGGGACTTCTTTTTTGGGGTGGTGAAAATATTCTGCAGTTAGTTATGTTTGTTGCACAACCTTGTGAATATACTAAAATCCACTGAAGTATCTGCTTTAAAATGGCAAATCGGGCTGGGCATGGTGGCTCATGCCTGTAATCTTAGCACTCTGGGAGGCAGAGGCAGGACTAGCTTGAGTTCAGGAGTTCAAGGCCAGCCTGAGCAAGAGACCCCATGTCTCTACTAAAAATATAAAAAAAGAAGAAAATAAATAAAATGGTAAATTTTAGTGATACATGAATTCTCTCTCCAAAAAAAGGGAGGAAGGGTTATACTCAGCAGTGTCAAATGCTGCAATGAAGTCAGCTGAGGCCAGGTCTGGAGAGATCAGGGGATCTGAGTAAGACTGTCTACCCAATAGCCCTTTTTCTACCATCTATCCCTCCCTTATTTAAATCTAACAATCCTCACTGGTCTAAACAGATTCTGTGGTTCAATCCCTCCTGCTATGGTCGGTTTGGGAATAGGTAGGCAATCCAGTTCTGCTCAATGAAATGGACTGCTGGGGGATTTCTGGGAAATATGTCATTATTCTTAAAAAGAAAAAAGAAAAAAAGAAATCGTCTTCCTGCCTAGGGACATCGGTGTGGCAAGTAATGATGCCCAGAGCAGCCAACTTGAAGGGGAGGTAGTTACATAACATCCTGAGAGCAGCAGAGCAGAAAGATGGAAGAACTACCCGGGTCCTTAAAACCCTACACCTCAGGACTTCTTGTTTTAAGAGATAAATTCTCCTGTTCGTGCTATTTGATTTTTTTACTTAAAGCCCAAAGCATCCTAATGCAGGTTACTGGTGACTTTTCTTCTGAAATCAGTTAGAAGAATGAGCTTGGAGACAGGAATGAGAAGAAAGTCCACTTTTTTTTTTTTTCCTGAGACAGAGTCTCACTCTGTTGCCCTGGCTAGAGTGAATGCCATGGCGTTAGCCTAGCTCACAGCAACCTCAAACTCCTGGGCTCAAGCGATCCTACCGCCTCAGCCTCCCAAGTTGCTGGGACTACAGGCATGCGCCACCATGCCCGGCTAATTTTTTTTCTATATACATATTTTTAGTTGTCCAGATAGTTTCTACTTTTAGTAGAGACGGGGTCTCGCTCTTCTTGCTCAGGCTCGTCTCGAACTCCTGAGCTCAAACAATCCACCCGCCTTGGCCTCCCAGAGTGCTAGGATTACAGGCGTGAGCCACTGCGCCCGGCCTGAAAGTCCACTCTTTATCTACATCCAGACTTTAGTTCAGGACAGGCACTGAGCATACCACGACTATCTTAGAAAACAGTGCTTACCACGTTTTGATGTCTGGTTTCTTTTTAAGCCCACCACTCTCATGGTCCAAAAGCAGTCAAATAAGTAAATATGTTCCAGGAAGAGACAAAAAGTTGAAGCTCACCCTAAGATTTTGGCAACATAAAAGAGGGCCAGTAAACAGAACAGGTTACAAACAAGTTTAACCTCAGCCAGTTACTTCACATCTCTGAGCCTGCTGCTCAGCTATAAAATGGGGATAACATCTAGACATTGTAAGACTGACCAAAAGATTAAAGACCATGTGGCAGACGTGCCAGCATAGTCCATGGCTCAACAGATTTTACTATATCTGAATATTGATAAAGAACCCCAACTGTAGCTTTCTCAAATTCTGCAACTTCCGCTCAAATACCAACCAAATGTACCCCTAACCACTTAAGACACCTGTAATGGTTTCCACTCTGGAAGATACCTCCTCTAGAATCCTGGGATTTGTTCTATAAAATGTGGATTCAGTCAAAAGGCTGCACTTAAGGATCTAGAAGGCCACATGTAGCCTCAAGGCTGCAGGTTCCCTACCCCCAGACTAGCTGAAAGTCTGAATCCTGACTTTGCTGTTCATTAGATGTGCACAAAACCTTCAACAAGTTTCTTCATCGGACCGTTTCCTCATCCATAAAGTGGTGTAACACATTACAAAATGGTCTCAACACTTAAGATGAGAGATAATATATCATCTTCTAAAGGAAGCTTAACTGATACCTCTACCTTTTTGACTAAGAGGATAGACGAAGCAATTTTATAGCCTCCAATTTGCTTTATTCCCCTCAGACAATACAGCCAGGTGGGTCTATGAAAGGAAATTCAAACTGCAAGCACAAATTTGTTACAAGTTCTATATCCTTACAGATAACTTCTTGGTGTTTTGCTACAGGAAAGGGGTTCTCTGCAGCATCTCCAAATTAAAACAATCAGAAAAGCCCTTATTACATCTTTGTTTGCAGGTCTACTTAAGTCATCTGCCTCACACATCTTACAGCCAACTGCCTACAAACACGGTGGTATTTACTGACAAAAGCCTACCATCAGATTTATTAATTTGCTAATTACAGGGGTTGTGAGAAGCTCCTTGCCGAGAGCTACCAAAGCAAAACTTTAGATCTACCAAAAATCTACATTTAAAAATATATTTCATAGTGCAAAAAAACCCAAAACACTTCAAGGAATGCTACATAACCAAGTAGAGAAATCACTTCTGTTCCTAGCCTCTCACCACCAGCCAGTCTATTCTGGGAATCCTTCCTAACTCCACCTAGCACCAAGTGCTCTGGAGACTGACTATAAATCAATGAAAGATCATTTGACTGTACAGGGAACCTCTACACCTCAAGGCAGACTGCATCCTGTCCCAAGAGACTAAGAGAAACCAGGTCCCGCCACTTGTGGGAAAAGATCAGAGGCAGTATTCCAAGCCAAACTGTATCCAGCTTTATTAAAGATACTTTTCATAAACAATCATGGTATTTCAGGCAGGACATGGGCAGACAATCGTTAACAGTATACAACAACTTTCAAACTCCCTTCTTCAATGGTCTACCAAAATCAGACAGCCACTATAAAACCCAATGAAGTCTTCATTTGATGCTCTGAACAGGGAAAGTTTAGAGTGAGGGTTGACATTTCACATTTAGCATGTTGTTTAACAACTTTTCACAAGCCGACCCTGACTTTCAGGAAATGAAATGAAAATGGCAGAATTTGTCTGAAGATCCACAATCTACAAATGGAGCTGCTGCTCTTTTGAGGGATGCCACCTCAGTGGTGCCACTGTAAAGTTCCGATTACCTGACATACTGGTAAGCAATTATTGGAGGTCAGGCCCCAAGAGGTGTCTGGGTTTAAGGGAGTTAAGACTATGCTGAAGGCAGAGAGGGAGAATAGGACATAAAAGCAAATTAGTTTTTCCATACCACTAGGCATTTGTGCCAAGGTGGCTATGTGTCAACATCAGGGAATCCCTCCTCCTGAGAGCCAAGAGGAAGTCTCTCAAAACTAGAAGGGAAAGGTGTTTTCGCCGTATCAATCTAGCTTTGGAGACAATTCTATTAGTGACATATGCCCCCTCCCCCAAAAAACAACAATGAAGTGTTCTGTGTGCTAACAACATAGCTTAAAAAAAAAAAAAAGTAAAACAAAATTCTGCATTTTTATAAAACTTGATAAAAAATAGTATTTCAAACTGTACAGTCACCAGAAGTACACAGTTATCAAAAACGCACACACTTCACTTGGCATCTCCAGCACCTTCAGCTTTCTGTGCCTAGAAGAAAAAGAGACAAATTAATGCAACATGTAGATTTTGAAACTACCTTTGTCCACATCCCACCTATAGCCATCATTTTGCTCCCAGGCCAAAGTTCAGGTTTCAGGTACTTAGACACTGAGACTCAGCATTTCTTTTGAGAATGAAATTACTAGGTAACTCTGTGAAGTCACCTCCCCTCCTGGCCCTACTGTAAAATTGGGGAAGGGGGGGCATGCCAGGGTTAGAAGATCTGTGGTTACTCCTAGCAGTGCCCTTTTGGGATGGCAGAGACTTCAAGAATCCAAGATTTAAGTTAACAGGAAAACCATAAGCAAACTCTGGACCACAGGGTACTTTTGGAGTGATGTAGATATAAGGGCAATAAAGTCTTTGAGATTAGCAACTGACTGGACAGACTTAACACAAAGAGAAACAATTAGCCGTACCTGGTCTGTTTTGGCATCTCCGTTTTCTGCAGGGTTATTCCCCTCCTTGCCAGCGTCAGCTTTTCCCTTTTTCCCTTTGGGTACCTTCTCTCCCTTCTAAAAAGGGGGGAAAAATAGAATTGTTTCTCCCCATTTCATATCACCAGGGTATGGTCTGCAAAATTCTACATAAGGTAGGATGTTTATTGAAGATAAAACACATAAACTCTCACCCGCTGATAAGAACTGATCAAAAGTAGGCTGTTATCTACATCTGCTATGGTCTTTACTATATAAAAATTCTTATCTAAGTAGAAGTAACAGAAGAATAAATTGGCTTGAACACTTGGGTATTAATATTTAAAAGTGCAAAATTTTCTGTAAACTGATGACAGAATGCTTGATTAGGAAACTAACTATTATGTCAGGGATAAGGAACCTATCAAAACAATTTATAACATCCATTAATGGTGTCACCCATTACAGTGAATAAAGTTACTAAAGGATAGTCCTGATCCTGTGAAGATGATCAATTCCAATGTTAGCACTAACCTTTGCAGGGGCCTTTTTAGGCTTGGGCTCTGGCTTTGGAGGAGCAGGTTTCTTTTTTTTTTTTTTTTGGCAGAAAGAAAAGAAAAAGATCAGTACAATGGACCAAAGAAAACCCACAACCAACCTACAGTACCAATGATAGAGAAATTTCCCCCACTTCTCAAAGTTTTTGTAGTTGGCTTTCTTTTAGAATGTAAGCTCTTCAGAAAGCCACTCAAGTAACACTCTGAAGTGTCCCACTTTGGCTATAGCCATCAGAATTTCAGAGCCAGCAATCCCCAAGTGGGCAAGAGTCCAAAGTAGAGCAGATCACTAAAAACCACCCACTAACCATAATTCATGGGAAGCAGAGGGGATTGTTTTCCAGTGTTTCTTAGTTTCAGAGATAAATATGAAGATTTAAAAGTATACACACTTACAGCAGACAACCTCGCGGATCTTCTCTGTGGCTGTTAAAAATAATGAGAAAGTCAGAACTAGGACAAAAGAAATCACTTGAACAAAACAAAAATAAAAATCGTGGTGTCAATTTGCTCTGGACTACAGTAAGTGAAGAGAGCTTATTTAGGTAAAAATCAGAACTAGGGTTATGGTTAATTCCCACCGAATGAGTCCTGTGGTCTTTACTAGTCCAAGGTGTGTATGACCCTTAAAGAGAATAAATAAGACTTACTTCGTCCTTTGCCTTGGCTTTATCCCCTTTAGCATCCCCTTCAGCCTATAAAAAACAAAAGACTGCAGCTTTTGAGGTAGTTAGAGTTCCCTCAGCTTAATAGAATCCCAATGAAAAGAAAGTTAAGGGAGTCGTCCACACAACTTTCTAGGGCATGTACGAATGAACAGTTTTCAGCATGCCCAGCCCCGATGCAAACAACCGGAGTGCGCAGGAAGCTGTAAAGCCCTACTCATATGTTTCAGCCCAGTACGCGCACGGGAGACCGGGTGTCGAGAACCCCGGCGGCCCGGCTAAGCCGGAGCGAGGCCGGAGAGGGCGGCCAGCGCCCGCGCCACCGTGCCAGGCAGGAGCAACAGCTGCAGATGGTGCAAACCCCTCCGGAGGCGGAGCCGAGCGCCGTTGCCATGGCAGCTGTCGAGGGCGGGAGCGGGAAGGCGCGCGCAGCCGGCGAAACTCGTGGGCGGCGGCGCGCCTCTCGTGCGCGGGGAACGTGGGCGGGCAGGGGCGGGGCCACACAAGGCAAAGACCCGCCCGGCGGGGAAGCGGCCCCGCCTCCTCACGGCGGCGGTTTTTTGGCGGCAGCGCGTTCCCCCGCCCGCCAACCCCGAGTGCCGCCTTCCCGCCCTTTCGGGTTTGAATTGCCCGCCCGCAGGGAGGGGAGGGAAGGGGGCCTGGCGATGGGGGAGGGGGCACGGGGTGGGCGCGTCGAGCCCGAGGGGAGCGGGATAAACAGCCGCCAACATGGCTCCTCCCGCCGCGGCCGCCGCTCCTCCAATATGGCCTCTGGCGCCCGCGGGCAGCCGAGCCGCGCAGGATTAGCCTGAGGCAGCCCGACACCGCCTGGAGCCCCCGCGCCTAGCGGCTGCGCTTGCTTCAGCCCGGCGCCGATTCTCGTGTCCATGAGTCGAGGCGGCGGCGGCGGC